CAAAGAAAAAAAAAAAAAAAAAACAAAAAAAAAAAAAAAAAGAAAACTGGGGAAAAAACTCGCACACATGCGCTCATTACACCTCGAGGCCTCACCGCTTGGCGATCTTGTTCAGCGTGCTCGCGTACTACATACGTGTACACAAACTCGACAAGCCTTTACATGCATCTGCATCACGTGAATTCCCCGCAGTCGCGGGCATTAAATCATCGTTTCGTTTAACACGCGTTTTCGCCGAGCAAGAAGCCAGAACATATTCCGCTCGTGCGGAGGAAACACGTACGAGACAGAATAATAATCATTAAAAAAAAAAGAACAGCGTATTTACAATTTCTGTGGTATACATAAATAACAAATCATTGTTACACGTGCGTTAAAAACTATTTCTTTTTACATAACAAATAGTTTATCCAACAATCAGTGCTTGTCTTATAAAATAGTGAAATTCAAATATTTCCTTATATTACTTTGTTGCCGTTGAATCTAGATATTGTTTTGAGTTAATTTTGACTTTGGTATCTCTCTAGTTTCGACTTTCAAGTCACAATAATGTAGTAAACTTAGAGCTGAAATAAATTTTGTGACTGTCCCATTTCAAATAAAACCTTAAAATTATATACACATACTGGCAATAAATATACGTGCACTTTACTACAAACATTTGGAGCATCTTCACACACACACATGCCACAAAGCAATCATTAATAATTTGTTCAAGTTTTGAGATGGAAACAAGACATACAAGATCTTGAACAAGTAATGTTTTTCCAAATGAATCTCTTGACTTGTTTGTCTTGTTGTGTTGTACACAGCACGTAGTTCATCATACCTTGCAGGATCCCGTCAACCGATGTTAAAATCGGCAACTTTCACCAAACCCAGTTAGTTGGGCTAAAAACGTACCGAAGGGTCAAATGAAAATTGAAAAAGTGACACGAATTACGAGAGTGAAAAAAAAAAAGAAAGAAGCAACGCATCATTTACGCAGTCCAGTGATACTATGCGTGTACGCGTGTGTATAATATTTATGCAAAGAGAAACATATAGCCGTAGCCCACAAGCCGTCGGCGTGTTTGCGGGGCCCGTTTTCCAGCTCACGCAGCGCTTGTTAGTGTCCAATTGTGAAGAGCCGCTGCCAGTATAGGCGTGTAGTGCTACAGGCACAATACCTATATATACTCGCTCTTCGTCTCTTTCTCCTTTTCACGTGGACAAAGTGAGATAGAGGACAGGATAGAGGAAGAGCTAATTTGCCGCGTCGGCAGGCCTCCATAGCCGGCTGATGGCCGACCGCAGAGGTATGCGCTGCATGTGTGGGCGGATGGGCGCGGATGTGCATCTGTGCAAAAGCCCGTGTACAATGCCACGCCGTATATATACGCCCGCAGCCCCGTACCAGGCATTCGCGCATATACAGCCCGTAGGCACGGTTGTACGGTGTGGGTAGTCCGTATTGTACACATATATATACCTGCAGCGCATATGGGTGGGTATACCGGCTTCTCTCGCTCGCCGGGGAGAAAATTAGCGCTTCGCCTCCCTGGCATATATACTCGTGTTATTATGTGTACGGTGCTTTTGCGAAGGTGTATTATGATGCACGTCGGTCGAGAGGCATTTATGGAGAGGCACTCTAGAGTGGGTATGTACATTATGTATCCAGCATACATGCACATGCATGAAACAACTGTGCACAAAGTTGGGGTATGCACGCGTGCGTTCGTATGATTGTATGCATACTCTGCTGACGGGAGGAGAGGAGAAAGAAGAATGACGATGAATTGCCTCGGGTGTGCATGTCCAAGTGTGCGTCCGTTTGTGTGTTAAGGAGCATGAGACACGTACACTGGGCGCTGATTACTCTTCTGTGTTGAAAAAAAAAAAATAATAATAATAAATAAATAAACAAAAAATTCCTTGGACAATTGAGACTTCCTGTTAATATTCCTTTTTATGTCATTCTCATGAGTCTTATGACGCACTCAATGAACTATCAAGCTCGTAGCAATGATACAAAATAGCATTTCGGACGTTAGTTGGCTGACAATTTTTTTTTTTTAAGTTTAAAGGTCATTTATTATATAAAAAAAAGTATTTCAGATACATACCCGTCGTAAGAGCAGGTGTCCACTCTTGTTCGCCTGTTGCACCCCAAAGCAGAGTTAGGCTTTTAGGGCTGTTTGATGTTTTTTTATCAATGGTATTGGTTAACAACAGATTCAATCGTTGCGATTTATTTTTCTGCTCTGTAAGAGAAAATGCAACAATTCATTATTATCATATTTACGTACTTCCCAATATCTGATAATTCAAGGATGAAAAGAAAAAAAATTCTTACGTTCATTGAAACAAGTTTGTGAGGCAGATCGCGACATGGACGAAATCGACCCAGAGGCAGATTGAAGGAGACTAGGCTCAGCAGGTGAGGTTTCCAGGGTAAAGGTCGTATCGGAAATGCTGGTTCGCGGCTCCAGGAGAGTATTATTTTTCTGAGCTTGCGGTAGTTGGCGCTGCTGGCTAGTTGGAACTGCTTGGTAGTGGTGCTGCTGTACGAGAACGCCAGTAGGACCCTTGGGAAAGATGTGAGTCCAGCGTCTTCGGTTGCTCGTCAACTTGATCGTTACGTGCGAGGGATCAAAGGGATTGATGAGAGCACGACCTGGCCTCGTATTACCGGTCGACAATGTCGTAGATGCAGGCTGATGCTGAATACCATGATGATGATTTATTGAGTTATTGTTTGGGGGAGTACCTGCACTGCCCACCACCGGTCGGAAAGGTGGTGAGATTTCGGTGTCTGTTGCGTCGCTCTTTAGCGAATTTCGTGAAAGGGTGGAGAGATTAGCTAAAATGATATTAGAATATTTGAAATGAAAATTTATATTATTAAAACCAAAAGATCATCTTAAACTTACCAGTGGTTTCACTGGTAGAACCGTTGCTTTCCATTGGTGGATTTTCAGTTCGTGGAGGAATGGTTATCGCGGCGCTGCGCGAAGCAGCCAAGTTTGGCATGAGTGGATCCGGTAGAGGGTGATGAATATCCGGGTCTGACATTTTACGCTTCAGGAGCTTGAGCGCCTGAGCGTTGTTGTGCGTTTCCATGCAAACGACACTCGTCTTTTTCGTTCTAGTGGTTATACGTTGAAGACTCGAGCTATGAATTGACGGCAATTGAAAGACTTTGGCATCATACGCGTCATAGTCAAAGAACGAATTGTGCAGGTACTCTTGAGTATCTTCCTGAAGGAGCTTGGTTTTGTTATTCAGAAATTTTTCGCTACCATTTTCATTTAATTGCTTCGAAACGCGTTGTGGTAGCTTGATTCGAGGCACAAAAGTTGAGTTTGGAATTTTCTTGTTGGTTGAGTAAAAACTGAGGTTTATCCAATGAGGCATGCTGTAGTCATCAGGCACATTCATGGATGAATCTTTATTGTGGAACTGCAAAAATACAAATTGGAAATAAAAATATCTACTTGTTTTGGTTTATTTTTTGTGAGATAAGTAAATGTAAATACCTTTAACAACGGAACAGCATGCAAAGGCTGTTCTCCGACACAAACTAAATCACTACCAACTCCATTATCAATAATTCTTTGTTTGGTGACATTTGTTAATTCTCTGTCTACTTCAAAAACACCAACACCTGGTGTGATGACAACTGAGAGTTGACCAGTTCTATCAAAACTTCTATCCAGATAATGTTTTTCAAAAACTGGAAAAAAATTAATTTTACAAGACATTGCATCGATTATTACGAAAACTTGAGAACGTTTCAAAACAATACCATTTAAAGACATATTTAAAACTTCTAAAAAATTTCCTTGGGCAGCTGTTGAATTAGTTGCCTTAGGAATTACAATGCCGGGTTTCTGATGATATTCTAAGACAAATTTTTGGTAATCAGTGAAAAGTTTTCTCAGCTGTACCAGAGTATTGCTCCAATCTTCGTAGCGTTCGTTTTGAACTGCAACTCTGTAAAAATCCTCATAAAATCTGCCTTTGTAGTCTTGTTGCAGGCATTCCTTCATGTAATTGGGAAATTCTTCAAGACTAGTAGCATTGTAAAAGGTTCTTGAAAACAGAACAATAGTAACTTCATGATTACAGCCATTTTTCTTCCATTTTTGAAATAAATCCGCCAAAAAGCCATTTACAGCTTTTTCAAAGTAGAGATCTCCATGTATATCAAAATCCCACATTTCAGAGCTCATCTGAAGAAAAAGATACACCATACTTGTGGACGAGCGAAAGACAACTTTTGTGTCATCTGTTATGACACCACAAGCAACTCTGTCTCCTTGGGACCACATTTCGTACACTTGGCATCTCATGCTACCACCACAGAATTCGATTTTTTTGTTCATATAAACACATGTCTTGACCTAAAAGAAAAGACAAATCATTGAAAATCCAAAAATCCACATTTATAATGATAATCCCATTGTATATCAAAACATGTTACCAAACTATTCTTCAATCTCCACATTTCACTGCGACCTAGATACTGATCTTTAAATGTCAGCTCAACAGAATCCAAAGCCACATCATCAGGATTGACTACATTCATGTAAACATCTTGAAATGTTTTTAGCTGGAACATTGCAGCTATGTTATATTCCACACTGATGGTCTCTCTGCTCTGCAGGTCCTCCTTAAAAGAAGTAACCTGCAAGAGCAGTCTGCTGTAATCATCTTCAGGATGATAAATCTCAACAACATCTCCTGTCTTAATGCCCGGATAATCCTTGGGATTAATAATCAAGTCTTCACCACTGAAATTTTTTTGATGCACAATAAACTTGAAAAGCTTCATTTTCGCTAGCTGGCCATCCTAATAAAGTTTTTGATATTTATAGTCGTTGCATATTTCACAACATACAGACTTTACACCGTTGCAGCTGTTTAGCCTCTGCAAAAATGATAAATAAATGACCAAACAAATTAAATTTTTAGTTACTAAGTGGACAAGGCTGTGGTAGGCCATATATAGGGGCAAAATAACAAATAAAAATGATGTATACGATATACATATACATATACATATATAACGTGTGCAATATCTCAGTGGCGCTCACTTCAACTTTATAAGTATTGTCATTTCACATTTAATTGTGTAGATTCAGAAATTATGTTTCTCAGCATTATATTTAAATAATTTTCAATAAGCAAGGTATCTGGAGTGATTATTTGTATTGATTAATTAAACATATGTATACATACGTATTTGGTGTTGTCAATTAATTACTCTGTCAAGGTCAACAACTGTATGTAAATATAAGTAAGTGATTATATGTAGCACAGACATTGTGTTTTATTTATATTATGAAGCATGTTTTATTTATTTATTTATTTTTTTTTTTTAATTAGATTAATATATTATACAGCAATAAAATTTGTTTTTTGTCTCTAATATATTAACTGCGATGATTTTTCAAAAAAATTAATGAATGCTTAGAAGTTTTTGAAAAATCGATCGACAGCAATATTTATTTGTGTTGGATTCTTCAAATAAAATCTCGTACAAAAAATCTTTGAATCGTTAAATAAATAAGGGTATCATCGTTTTATCGTGTAGGCATAATATCATATGTAAGTATCATCGTTTCATATGTACTTATATGTTATCAGTAAAAAAATAAAATGGTACACATGAAGTATGCATGTGTACAAAAAGATAACGTTTAAATTGAGCATACATCGAATTGAGGATATATCAAAAGAGTATACCCTACTTATGTATGTCAACAAAATATACACATATCATCACCACCGATCACGGCGCTCACAGTTTAAAGATATATATGATGTGCTTTGAACGGTGCATTAAATAAGTTTACGGGAGAGGTGACTTGGCATTTCTGCATGATCGGAAAATTAGCATTAAACAGGCATAAAATGCTTATACGAGTTGCAATGATGGAGCAGACAGTTCGTAAATTCACAAGTGCCACCAAATCGGCAACCAATAATTGCCGCAGGTTGGAAGGCAAGGTTGCAGTTGTCACAGCCTCCACCCAAGGGTATGTTCTTTTATTTTTATTTTTTTTATTTATAAGTGTATTTCTCAACTCTATTTTTATGCATTTTAAAAGATTAAAAAAAAAAAAATAAATAAAAATAAAAACCAAGTAACATTATATATTTGTATGCGCGCATGAATTATATTTTTTCTCTGTCACTCGAACAATTGTTGAACAGTAAAATTATTTATTTTATACTTTACATTTTTGTGTACAATTAAGGATTTTGTTGTTATTATACAGAATCGGATACTCTGTAGCACGCCGCTTCGCCCAAGAAGGAGCCAAGGTTGTCATCAGCAGCAGAAAAGAATCGAATGTCAAAAATGCGGTTGAGCAACTTGCGAGTAAAGAGGGCCTCGAGGTCTCCGGAATCGTTTGCCATGTGGGAAAAGCCGAGGACAGGCAGAAACTCTTGAATGAGGTCCATACACTTAGAAAGAACTTGACAGGTGTATGATGGTACAATGGTTTTGATTTTATACTTTGGTAAGTTTACGTAGGCAGTGGTGCGCTATGGTGGACTGGATATTTTGGTGCCAAACGCAGCTGCAAACCCAGAAGCAGGTCCAGTCATCGAATGCAGCGAGTCTGTTTGGGACAAGATATTCGACATCAATGTCAAGAGTACATTTTTGTTCATAAAAGAATCATTACCTTTTCTCAGAAAAAGACAATCTGCCTCGATTATTATCATGTCCTCGATATCTGGATATCAACCGCTTAGTGTAAGAATTAATATATCACGCACATAACAATAATACTAGACAATTCTATAATACGACTAACTTTCTATTGTATTTTATTTCAAAGTTGCTGGGAGCGTATTCTGTTAGTAAAACGACCTTGCTAGGACTGTGTAAAGTTGTCAGCGAAGAATTGGCAAGTGAAGGAATTAGGGTCAATTGCATCGCTCCAGGAGTTATAAAAACAAAGTTCTCCCAACCAGTATGTATACATTAACTGTTAATAATATATTCTAGTATGAATAGTCCTAATAAAGATGTATTCTTTTTTTTCTTTGTATAGCTTTACGAATCAAAAGCTGCGATCGATACAACGTTGACAATGATACCAATGAACAGACTGGGAACTCCAGATGAGATTGGAGCTGTTGCTGCGTTTTTGGCAAGTGACGATGCGGCATACATCACAGGAGAAACAATTGTAGCTGCCGGAGGAATGAAATCAAGGCTTTAAAAAGTTTAAGTATAGTAAACGGGATGTGTTTCATCGTAATTTGGAGATTTTGGAATTTTCAAACTTTAGCTTTGTATTTTGATCGCGACTGGACCAAGAGGGATTCAAGAAAACGGGGACTTAGCATCAAGAATTTGCCAATTGATCAAAAAATCTTTTGGTGAAGTGTAATTGGTTGAGGTGTTAATTATGTAAGTACTTTTTTGGTACGTNTTTAGGGTTGCCAGAAATCTAGAAGTCGGAATGATTGGCATCAATGAGGGTTTGATTTCATGTACCGAAGCAGCATTTGGTGGTGTCAAGGAATCTGGTATTGGCAGAGAAGGATCTAGTCACGGAATTGATGAATACATCGATATTAAGTATATCTGCAATCAAAAAATCTTTTGGTGAAGTGTAATTGGTTGAGGTGTTAATTATGTAAGTACTTTTTTGGTACGTCTTTGCATCATGTTTTTATTTTTTTTAATATTGTCAGGTGTGATTGTTTTACACGAAGTGCCAATAGAAGCGAGTCTGCCAGACTCCATATAATCTCACCCTTATGTTAATACTAAAACGAATAGTGTAGCACATTTTATTTGTCATCTCTAACTTTCTCATATTAGTTCACGATCTATAAAGTGATTATAACATTTCCATTTTCTGAATCTATTGTAGAACAAATATAAATTATATTATTAATGACATCGAATATCTACAAATGTGTTACATTTAAAATATATATTTATAAATATGTGTATTTTATTATGGGTGAGCGTGAAATATATACTAATGCAGCTATTTTATTGATGCATTAATTTGCAAAGTGTTGGGTGTAATCGAATTTATGACCTCTTTAGTTGATACATTTTATATCTTCCAATATTTTTTGTTAAAAATTTCAAATCTGTGACTTTACATACAATTGTTAAATAAAAAATATTTTTGTATGCCTATCTTGTTTTTTTTTTTTTTTTTTTTTTTTTTTTTCAATACTGCACATGTACCTCTTTCCCGAATAAAAAATGTATTTACCCACTTCACGTATAATAGCATATAAAACATCTTAATACGCTAAAAAAAAATGATCCTTTTGCAAGTTTAGTTCCAACTAGCGAATGATGCTGTAAGCTCGCTACTTTTCTTTTCGTTCTTGCTGTCCCAAAAATTATCATAAATTAGCTCAGTCTTTCACTTTTGGAGTTGCCATCCATACACTATTAACAACAAAAATCGCGTATATATATATATCGTGTATAACCTATATATTTAGTACTTTACCGATTGTACCATTTCTACAATTCTACCGAAATAGTTGTACAATGTACACGATTACGCTTACGCGTGATTTATTAATAATTAAGTATACACTAAGTATGAATTTTATTTTATATAAGACTGCGCATCCTCCCGCCTCTGACACTCTGATCGATTCGGCCGATTCTGCGTAAAAATTTCTTGTTCGATTCCTGGAATGCCGTGCATTTGACTTTTTTAAGGTTACAAAGAGCTTTTTGCGCAAAACCTAAGCTTTGCCCAATCGTCTGTTAAAATTGATAATTAAAACTGTGTTCTTAAAAATTCTCATTATCGAATCTTTTATTGATAAGATAATTTGTAAAGACTGTAGATTTATATGTATAAAAAAGAAAAAAAAAACCATATCACTGACAAGTACATTTTCACTAGAGCTGCCGAGCTTGCGATCTGTTTGATTGAAGGTGATAATTTTTATTGAAATGACATTGACGGCAATTTATTCAAGAAATTCGTTTAAGCATATTGTTGAAGATACAGTATAGGGAGTTGTTTGAATACATTGAGGCAGCTACTCTCCGACTTGGATTTTATGTGATATTTGTGAGCCAAGATACTTGTTACTTATAATTTATATCTATCCGTGGAGATAATTGTGTGTTATTGATAAATATATTTGTTCTAGAATATCATAAAAATGATAAGATGTTTTGATAAGTAGACGATTACGTTGCTGATATATATTGCTGTCTAAAAAGAAATCAGTATTTTAATAAAATCGTCCGTAAAAGTTTGATAAATTTATCTTCTGAGTAATAGTTTTTTCACAGGGTATTAAAAAACATTTTTTCTAATTTCGTACCCGAAAAATTTTTATTTTTGTAGAACTAAATCAGCTGATCATCAAGATGTTTACCAAACTCTCTCCGCTCCAAACTACAGTAGCTAAATCTTCCAGTGGATTTCGTTTAATCAGCTGCCAGAAGAATTTAGCTTTTATAAATGGAAAATGGGTTGGAGCTACAAGTGGAAAAGTTTTTCCAGTCATAAATCCAGTGGATTGTTCCACGATAGAGTGTGTCCCAGACATGGATGCCACAGATACCAGCTTAGCAATTGATGCAGCTTCTCGGGCATTTCTTACATTCCGTAAAACATTGGCTAAAGAACGCAGCGATTTATTGAAAGCTTGGTACAATTTAATGGTTAAACATTCAGAAGAACTAGCTGAAATTATGACGAAGGAAAATGGTAAATCTTTGGACGAGTCAAGAGCCGAAATAAGATACGGTAATTCTTTTGTCGAGTGGTTTGCAGAGGAGGCCAGAAGAATCAATGGTGAAGTCCTCATGGCTCCATTTAAAAACAGGGAAATGTTTCTGGTCAAGCAGCCTGTTGGAGTTGCTGCTTTCATAACTCCTTGGAACTTTCCTCATGCTATGATTACAAGGAAAGCTGGTGCAGCCCTTGCAGCTGGCTGTACCTGTGTGATGAAGCCTTCGGAGGATACACCTTTGACTGCACTAGCTCTGGCTCATTTGGCAGAAGAAGCTGGTTTTCCTGCAGGTGTTATTAATGTTGTGACAACGAGCTCAGAAAACTCGGTAGCTGTTGGACAGGAGCTCTGCAGTAATCCAAAAGTGCGAGCTCTGTCGTTTACTGGCTCTACAGCTGTTGGAAAAATTTTGTACCAACAATGTGCTCCAACTATGAAGAAACTGAGTCTCGAATTAGGTGGTAATGCACCATTTATTGTATTTGATACAGCTGACATTAACTTGGCTGTTGCTGGAGCAATGGCTAGTAAATTTAGAAATTCAGGACAGACTTGCATCTCTGCCAATAGATTTTTCGTGCATTCCAAGGTTTATGATGAATTTTTTTGCAAATTCATGACTAAAATTGAAAGTGAAATTAAGATGGGTGATGGTAGAAAAAAAGGAAATACTCATGGGCCTTTAATTAAAGATAGCCAATTGCAAATAGTAATGAGACTTGTTAACGATGCTAAAGCTAAAGGGGCTAGCATACATTGCGGAGGTAAGCTGTTGACTGAAGTAGGACCTCTATTCTATGCCCCTACTGTGATAACTGACGTTACCCGAGATATGGAGATCTATGGAAAAGAGATATTTGGACCAGTAGCTGTGATACATAAATTTGATGACGAAGAGGAGGTTTTAGAGAGAGCAAATGAAGTACATGTTGGTCTAGCCGGATATTTTTACTCTAGAGACATATCACAAATATTTAGGGTTGCCAGAAATCTAGAAGTCGGAATGATTGGCATCAATGAGGGTTTGATTTCATGTACCGAAGCAGCATTTGGTGGTGTCAAGGAATCTGGTATTGGCAGAGAAGGATCTAGTCACGGAATTGATGAATACATCGATATTAAGTATATCTGCATTGGGAACATTCAGCATTAAACAATTATTTTAAAATTTTAACAAACAATCCACCATAAGTTAATTATTGTTATGTTGTATGTTTTAGAGATTACAACCTTTTTAATTTTTTTTTAGAAAATATAGTTTAATTTTTCATTAAAAACAAGTAGATATGCATATTTAAGTTCAAAATATATCTAGGTCACTTTCTTGATCTGCTGACAAAACGTGTTAAATCAACAGTCTTCCATGTTAAAAAATAATAAACTTAAAATAGAGCAACATATTTGTGCAAAGATAATAAGATACATTATCTACATGATAATGTGTATGTATGTATATATAAATGTGTATTTCAATCAATTATTGTAGCTTTATTTATTTATTTTATGTAAGTTTATTTCTTTTATTCTTCTTAAATTCATTTCGTAACATTTCTTACTAAAAAAAAAGTATTAATTTTCTAAAATAAAGTTAGTTAAGGAGTAGGGCCAAAGGTGTATCATTACCCTTCACCTCATCAGCGTTTCTTTTTATTGATTCTACTCCAGATCACTCGGAAATCCGGGAGTAGTTGAAAAATGTGGGAGTAAGAAACAGTAGAAAAAATAAAGAGGGAAATAATTTTGGTTTACGAGGGAACAAACAGTAACAAAAAAAAAGTTGCATACAGATAGCTTCCTTACATTTTAATAGCTTTAAATTCTTAAGCTTTTTTTAACCTGGGTAAATTTAAAATCACTCAATCTCTAAGATTTTTACCTTTGAAAATTAGCTTTTATAAATTTAGTAGTATTTAACCATGATTTTATTTTTATATATTTTAATAAAAATTTACTTTTTTGTTGAATGCAAAAAAAAGTGGATTATTTTCGTACTAACAGGATTGCAACATTTTCGAGTGAACTATTACAGCGTATTATAATTATACACAAATATCATCTGGCAATATAACTTTTAATATAAATATAACTTTTTTTCATATGAACCTCGAAAGTATTATTAAGTGGTAATTATTACTATAAAATTTTCAAAATCTTAACTTTATTAGATAATTACGACACAGCACTTAAACATTTTTTAAAAAAGAAAGATGATTTCTTATATTTTTAATTGATACAGTGTTTATAAAAACAAAGTAACGTTTAATCATAAATTTACAAACATAGAATCATTTTTAAAACAAGTTAATTACATTTAATAACTTATAATACACTTGTTCTCAAACTTTCCCATATATAAACTCTGTCAACAGTCTTTTAAACCATGTTTCTTAATATATTTTTCTCTTGCTTCTGCAATCATTTTTGCTTTCCTTTCCTGGAAAGTTAATGCTGTTGTACTGGTGATACTTGTCATAGGTGTTGATACCAAAGGCTTACTCCTTGAACTGCTGGATGAAGCCGTAGTAGGCGCCGGTTCGGGCGTATAAGTAACAATACCGTCCAAAATATTGGTAATTGTAACGTCAACATTTCTAGTTTTTACTACAAAATGAAAATTGATTAGTATCAATGGAAGCGTTTGAAATATTCAAATGAAGTGTTAAAAAAGATTTATGATTTGTTGCTTACATAGATCTCTAAGAATAACGTTGTGCGGGACCAATGGAAGCACTTCACTGACTTGTCTCGCCATCCTTTGCATTTCAATGCTGGCAACGATTTGCGAGCTTGACACACTTTGATTCTGAGGACCCCTGTTTTGTAATTTTTCTATAACATAACGTTTTTCGTACTCTGTTTTGTCGGAAACTGTATGCTGACTAGTCTCAATTTTCAGAGAATCAGCGATTTCCTTTTCCACATCTCTAACAAGAACATCAGCATCCGTATTTCGTTTGATTTTTAAAAATTTCACTGTAAAAATAGTGTAAGGAGCAAACATAAACCACATGACGTCGGTCCACCAGGTTGAGGCGATAGAGGTGAGCTGTATGTCGACGAATTCTGGCCTCTTAGCTTGCAAGACAATAGGCTGAATAGTCGACTCGATAGTAAATGGCCATGTGTTGAACTTTAGCAGAGCCTTGTGACTATTGGTTGCACTGAACTCTGGTTGCAGAGCAATATTGATCTTAGAGTTGGCTAGGAACTGCTTGATCTCGGTGACAAGGTTGTCTTTGCTGCTCATGTCCATTTTTTGGAGACCCAAAGCGTTACTCAGTGAATCTGGAAGGTTCGATAGGCTCGGTGTCACCGTATTTGCAGCTGTGGCCAGGACAAAGTCATCCAAGGCAGATATGTTGTTGGCGATGACGATGCGCGCCTGCTCATCTCGCTTTTCACTGTCTTGGTTGACTTTAACAATGATACCAAAGACGAACGCGAGGCCACGATTTAAAATCGATCGCAAGCTTTGACAGTCTGGTAATATTGTCGCTAACAGCCAGAGATGCAGACAAACTATTAGTCTAAGTATCACAAGCAACAATCCAACAGGTGTGTAAATCAGTACTGATACCAGTTTCCATCCAGAGGGAAACCTAAAAAGTACGCATAAAAACATCAGTCTGATGTATCTCATTTATTATTTATTACTTTATTTAACAAGAATATACTTCAACTTCAAAGAAAATAACTCTTAATAGCATCATCAAAAATGTATAAATCATTGGAATCAAAATGAAACGTCAAATAGAACAATTGTAATTATGAAGTTGTAGAATATACAACAAAAACAAAATCTTCAATTTTCATTTAATATGCAAGCAAGTTTCATGTAGATAACAAACATGCATATACACGTGTATACATCAAATAGACGTGAACTTGCGAAAGTGTTGAGAAGAGCAGTTTCAAGGACAAGCTTTGACTTTTTTTCGGAAATCTGCCAATTCACCACCTAAGAATAATGGCGTTGGAGGTATATAAACAGTCCAAGTCAACAGCAGATTTAAATATACGAAATCTAAATAGGCTTGAATGCAAAAACACCTAAATTCTTTTTCAGCTCTCTTTCTATAAGTAAGTAATAACAATAATTGCTGCTGTTGCTTTCTGTTTTCCGTAGTAATTATTTCTGCTGTTGCTTATACAGAATCTGACGTCACCCTTCAACTTATGTAGGTATTTGCAATGATACTTGGATGATTCTTTTGACTCACCTGCTCTCGTTCAACAGCTCCTTGATTTCAATTTGTGACATTTCTCACGTAAAACATCTGTTACGCTGCAGGAAGCCGTACGGTAGAGATTCACGAAGTGAACGCCACTGGAGAAGGGGGTGGGAAGTCCTCTCCTATAATATTTTCCCAGCAGGAGGCTAGGCACAGCAGTGTTTGCACTTGCACTAGCCCGTACGATACACACACTAGGAGCTAGGACTAGGACAGACAATTACTGCATTACCACAATTAAAAATATATATAGCAGCGAAAGACGACACTTTTCTTAGGAATCTGTGATTCACAAAATATAACTAAGTAGGTAAGTACTAAATTTGCTTCCGTGAGAGAGAGCGACGCTCACAGAGAGCGTGTGTGTGTTAAAAGAAAACGATACAAATAGTTTTGACACTTTGACCAATCAGAGGACGGCTTTAACCTTGCATCGACTGTAATTAATTGTTGCAAAATATTGTAATTAGTTCGATTTTATTGAACTACATAAATAAAATCTCTATACTTTTGGAGGTCGATTTTGTGGTAAAATATAAATTGTATACTTGCCACAAATAGCACAGACAATGTCAATTGTTTATCTTCTATATATAAAAATAGTTGCGGCTGGTTTATAATCGATTAAGTACATGGCTCCACTGTAAGTAGTGTATAGTAATAATTGTTTGGATAAGCGCCATCTAGCGTTGTGGATTTCTGAACTAAAAAGTGGCCCTAAAATTCTCAAGGAGAGCTTTAGGCTGCAGTTTAGGCTCTAGATCCATTTAGTCAATTATAAACCAGCCGCAACTTAGTTAGTAGATATAAAATATAAGTTGACGTTGTCTGCATTGTAGGCAGCAAGTTTACATTTTATCTTTTTCCCGAAAGTATAAATAAATAGAAGGTCGATATTCAGGTAGAAGATACATTGCAAACTTGCCGCATTTCGCATAACGTTAAAGTTGTATTTTGTATCTAAAAAATTAGTTGCGGCTGGTTTATAATTGAATAAATGGCTCTAGGGCCTAAACTGCCTGAAGCTCTCCTTCAGAATTTTAGGAGCCACTTTTCGCGAAAAAATGAATACCGCTAGATGGCGCTGATCCAAATAATTATTACTGCTTATAGCAGAGCCATGTAATTGATTATAAACCAGCCGCAAATAATCTCATGTATATAAAATAAAAAGTTGAGATTGTCTGTGCTGTTTGCGGCAAGTGTACAATTTATTTTTTACCCGAAAATCGACCTCCTATAATCTCTTTCCCACGTAACGATGTAACAATTATAAGCTGTATATACTTGAGTAAATGAAATAGAAACCGTCTTTGCAATAATTGCAACTTATTGTGTGCGCGCTTTCGTACACTCGACACTCGTACGTGTTTTTATGCACCCATGCCACTCATACTTGTATTTATCTTTTTATGCAGATGTCGTGAGTGTCGTGACCGGGCTTCCGTTCCGTATACTCTTATACTCTATGAATCTATGATGTCAATGTGTTTGTCGCTATACTGTTGCTGACAAGTCTGACATTGCTGAGTTGCTGACTGTTCTGTTTTGTGTAATGTGTACGCACACAGCTTAATAACTTGTCGAATCGGACGTCAAAAAAATATTGTTTTAATTATAAAATCAAACAAGTGAAATGAATATTTCAGATGTGATGAAAATCCAAAAGGTTAATACTTTCTATTTACAAAACAATCCTGATAATATTTAATAGTAATTTATTTCATTAATTTCTTAGGTTGAAAATGTGTTAATGTTGGATAAGTATGGCGTTAAACATACACTAGGAACTTTTTATTTAACCGAGACACATTTTATTTTTACGAAACCTAATGGAAAGAAAAAAATATGGGTAAATATTGCTAATTTACTTTCTATCATGTTTATTATGTACACACTTGTATGTAATACATACAACTATGCACACTGTAGGTTTTAAATTCTCATGTTGCTAGTGCTGAAAAATTACCATTACTAACAAGTGGTTCTCCACTTTGTATCAAGTGTAAACATTTTTTTGTCGTCACATTTGTTATTCCAAAAGAAAGGGATTGCCATGAGGTCTACTTGACATTGATAAAGTTATCTTCACCAAGTACTCAATTTTTAATACAAAAATTTTTAATCTTACAAAGATCTACATTATACTTAAATAATCTTCATTATTAGCTAGAACAGAAGATTTGTACTGTTTTGACTTCAAAGGTAATAACGAAGGCCTCATACAAGAAATGGGCTGGAATTTTTTCAGTCTTCAAGACGAATTCCAAAGACAAGGTGTTCCTAATGATGAATGGTCGCTATCTTATCTCAATGTTAATTATGAGGTTTCTATAAATAAATAACATACATTTTTATAACATTTTTCTGACAAAAATTTTCAAATGTTATTTATTTATATATATAAATTTTTTTTTTTCAGCTGTGTGAATCGTATCCAAAATATTTATATGTTCCCAGTTCATGTAGTAATACTGTATTAATGGGAAGTGCAAAATTTCGTAGTAAAGGCAGGTTACCAGTATTAACTTATTTACATAATAGTAATAAGGTACATTTTGTAACAGATTAATTTAAAACAATATCAGCTCTTTTGAAATTATCAGTTTCAATTGATAAAACTTAAAATTATTTCAGGCTTCTATCTGCAGATGTAGTCAACCATTATCAGGTTTCAATGCACGATGTTTAAAAGATGAACAAATGCTTTATAATTTGCTCTGCACAAATCCTGATTCAAAATATTTATGTGTAGTTGACACAAGGCCCAGGGTAAGTCATTCGAAATCATTCAAAAACTAACATGTGTTTTAAAACTGTAATTATTCATGAAAAGCTGTAGAAAAATTAATATACATTTTTATAATTTTTTAGATTAATGCAATGGCCAATCGCGCTGCTGGAAAAGGTTACGAAAACGAAAATTTTTATGACAATATAAAATTTCAGTTTTTCGGGATCGAAAATATTCACGTTATGAGATCCAGTTTAAATAAATTATTAGAACGTATGTCACAATTCGCAATTAAAATAGAAGTCCGATAAACGTCTTATGCTTTCATTTATCCAGAGCACGAAATTTGTTCATTTATATTTGCAGTACAAAAAAGTACCTCAATGAGTTCATTTCTCAGTGGCCTTGAAAGCAGTGGCTGGTTAAAGCATATTCGCGCAATATTGGAAACATCATGGTTCATTGCCCGTAATGTTGTCAATGGAATCAGTGTTGTTGTACACTGCAGCGACGGATGGGACAGGACAGCCCAAGTTTGTTCTTTAGCTGCTTTAATGCTCGATCCATTTTACAGGACTATTCATGGTTTCCAAGTAGGAGGAACATTGCGAAAATTACTCTTTTATAAATGTAATTGCATGAATTTTGATATACTTACATTCTCAGGTCTTAATAGAAAAAGACTGGCTTGCTTTTGGACATAAATTTAATGACCGATGTGGTTACGTGACTGCTGATAGCAAAGAGCTTGCCCCAATATTCACTCAATTTATTGATGCTACTTATCAATTATCACAACAGTACCCGTTTATGTTTCAATTTAATGAACAATACTTGATTACGTTACACGATCATGTACAAAGCTGTCAGTATGGAACCTTCATTGGTAATTGCGAAAAAGACCGACAATTTTATAAGTGAGTCACGAAATTTCAATGATTTTCATAATAAATGTTTTTGTAGTAATGTTTTGATGAAATCGTTTATGTTAGAGTTTCTGATAGGACTTATTCACTTTGGGGTTACATATCTCAACACATAAACGAGTTTATAAATCCTTTGTATTCAAATAAACAGTCCAAAGAAGCAAGTAATCAAATACTTAAACCAAAACTTTTACCACAAAATATCGTGTAAGTGTATCTTTTTCTTTACTTAGACATAGAAAATAATGTAACATGACAAAAATGTATATCTTTAATCTAGATTATGGAGAGGTCTTTACCTGCGATTTGAAAATGGTGTTCATCCCAGGGAATCTTATGAAGATTTACTCTCAACTATTAATAGTCATGTTAATTCAATAGAAGATCACATAAAATTTCTCACAAAGGTCTGTATAAATTTAAAATTTAAAAATTAAAAAAAAAAAATTTTATTCCAATACGATGTATTTATTCACAGAAAATTAACGCAGTAGAAGCTCTTACACCAAATAAAACCGATAAGTCATCTCTCAGCAAACAGAAATTAAACAATGATTATTCAAAAGAAAATACTTTCAAGGAACTTATAACCATCTTTGCAAGAGATCCCAACAATAAAAGTAAAACAGAAATCCAGCAACTAGTTGCAGAATTAAATTCAGTTTCATTGGAATGGAAGTCATCGAAAAATCGAGTTGAATGTAAATGTGCTACCACGTTTGATGCTTTTAATAAACAGGTAAGCATAACAATATTTTTCTAATGTAAACATTAATTTTCAATGATTGATCACAAAATATAATGTTTTAGTACCATTGTTGGTCTTGTGGAAATGTTATGTGCCAGCGTTGCATTCGTATCAATATGCTTTCTGGATATTCAACAGAAAGGGCAGTTCCAATTTGTAAATTCTGTTCTCAAAAATATGTGACAGTGACACAATAACCCTTTATTGAATCTCGTAAATACAAAAATGTTTATTTTGCGTTGAAGCAGCTGTACCTAATTTTATGAAACTAGATAAATTAAGATGTATATTTTGTGTTATGAAGGCGATTAATTTACCATTTTTACATTGTACACAAGCGAGACTCCTACAACGTTGAAAATTATCGCACTATTTATATAGCATTGCTAGTACTTTAGCCAAGCTCTCTGACACCATATGTCACTTAAGAATATAAATTATTTTTCAAGCCTAAACCATTTTTTTCTTAAGAAAATAAGAGGTTTGTAGTTCCATTAAGACATTTAGAAAAAGAAAATAGGTTGACGCTATGGACTTAATGTGCAGGCTTCTAATTGCTGAAGTCGTTTTAATGTTAAAAATTAATATTATTTTCTTACATAACGATACTAAATGAAAATTTTTTCCAAAATTGGCAATGTTTTTGATCGCTTCAAACTTTCATGTGCTCTTTCACTCTCACATTCTGGTCGAGAAACTACAGAAAACATTTTGTAAAGTTACTCAAACTTACTTTTTGTCGGTCCGAGTGACAGTGTCAAATTGTTCCTATAGTTTTTTTTTCTTTTTATAAAGTTTGAAATTTCAATGATAGTAACTTTGTTTTTAAAAGTATATTTAATTAGTAAGTCTTTGCATCTGATTAGAGTCGTTATAAGTTGCAAGTTTGTGATAATCATTATAAAAAAAATTAAAAACTTTATATGTAAAAAGAAAGTATTTACAAATAAATTTCATTTATCAAATGGAGAAGTAACTAACTAATAAATATAGAAACAAGTTTATTGAAAAAATTTTTGTTATAATTATTTTTTAAACTATGTATAAACAAATAACTAACAATTTTAATCAATAAAATGCCATAAAAGCAATCCTACAGTTTAGTTTTGTAAAATTCACTCATGATTAGCAGAACGGGAATATATCTAATCATTGTATCGTGTATATTATTTAGACAAAATATTTTATAATATCATAATTAAAATATCAAGATTCATGTTTTGATCATGATTAAGAGTTTAACAGTTACATAAATCAAACATTGCAATACCTTGATTGCAAAATCTATTCAATAGATTTTATATCATTAAACAGTGTTAATTTGAAATATCTACACAAAGTGTTGGTTTTTAAAGATTTAAAAATTATTAATATTGTATTTAAAATTTTTATCAATTTGACAATTGTCAAATTTTGATTGGACTACACTCTATTAACTTCCAATTGCTCAATTACTCATATAACTGATTTTATGAAATAGTAGTGAAAAAATAATTATATTTCACTAATAAAACTTCCACATTATATTCATTATAATATACGAAATAAATATTTGCATTGAACTTAAAACATATAATTAGAAATCGTTCAAGCAAAATTCCAATGATTATACGATATAAAATTACGTTCAGCGAAAATAAGTATTTTTATCGACGTGTTTACATAATATACAAGGTTTAAAAATTTTATGTCAAGTTCTTGCACGTATAAAAAATTGTTCAAATCGTTTATCTTACAATACCCTTAAAATACACCATGGCGAACTCTATTAATCATTAATAATACGTCTGTACTTTCTATTTGGTGGAAATACCTCTTCATCTTCTTCTTCTGCGGTAATACATGAATTATCGTAAACATAGTTAGGTATCCATTTTATCAGTAGTTTTTCGAAAAAGTCTTCCAAACTTTTAGCTCCCTGGTAAACTTGTGAGTCCGGCTTAAACGACAATAGAATGTTTAATTTTTTTAAGTCTATTAAATCGAAATCAGAAACATTAATGAAATTTAATATTTACAAGATTAAACGTGAAAGCATTTTTGAACATCAATCTAATGTCAGCCAATACTTGTTTTAAATTTGTGTAATGATTTTCATTTTCTTGATTAAGTTTATCACGTATAACATCGAGAGCTATTGGTTTTTTGATGATTCGATGATATTCAATGATCTGAGAACAAGAATTCAATATAAAATCAGAGAACGTATTATTACTAGCATAATAATAATAATAATAATAATTTAAAAGTATTTTATAGTTTTTCATGACTCAAAGTACACGTTGGAAAATTTTAAAAACTGTTATACCTCTGGCGACACAACTTCTCTAAAAGGTAAACTTTGTTCATGTTGACAATATAATTCTAAAACTATCCTTTGAGCTATTCTTAAGTCTCGAGCACTCATTTGATCAGTGTCTTCTTTTTTTTCTTCTGGAGAATCCTCTGAACAGTCAAGTACATTAGTACATAACATACATTGCCATGTTTCGCTTTCACTATAAAGGAACAAACATTTTTATGAAAACGAATTTAAATTTGAGTTAATTTTTTTTTTAAGTTGTGTAAAAATGTTTTTATTTACTGTGGAAAAGATTTTAAGTTTGGAATGTGACAGTATAAATGGAAGACCTTAGGACACTTATCACAACAAAGGACAGCATCTCCTCCATCCATACACACTGCACACCAATCTTCATTTGGATCATCTTTAGATAAGGACGCTGATACCGGAAAATTATACATAATGTTAACATTTTGAGAAATAACTTTTTTTTCTTTCTTTAAATTTTTACATTATGTCTAAAAAAACAAAATTACAATTTTCAACACTTTTTGAAAAAGAATCTATAGTCGCATTAATAATAATAATGCATTTCATTGAAAAAGTTTTTTTAGATAAAATAAAATTATCATAAAAATAAGTAATTAACCAGAAGAATTGTCGGTCATGGCATTAATTCCTTCATCAGTAGAACTATCCACTTGAGTTGAGTCTAATTGGCTTTTTTGACTTTCAGGAATTACCATTATACCATTGCTGTCTAATTTTGCAATGGTGCGCATCAGATCATTAAGTGATTTTTGACAAAATTTATCCAAGCTTTTCTGAGTTTCATCAGTCTTTTCATGTGGAGCTGGACTTGGTGTTTTCGGCATTGAAGAGCTCACTGTATGGCTGACTGTTGTTGAACTTTGACAGACTGGCACACTTTTGGTATTTATAGGTGGACTAGCGATACTATTATTACTTTTCTAGATAAGTCAAATTATACGGATAAGTCATAATGTATACAACTACTTACTTAAACTGTCAATTTAAATTATGATCAAAATAATCCCTACGCAAGTTATTTAAAAAATTTGGTTGTTTTTGATAAAAATTCGTGCTCTAATTTTTATTGTACAAAATAGGAAAAAAAAAAAAAAGTGTGTAATATTTACCCCTTGAAGAGCAGAGGAGAGAGCAGATTGACTTTTAAGCGTAATTTTGTAATCGTTAACTGGCGCGGTTGAAAGCATTTGCTGTTGCTGTACGGGATTTTTTACTGGATACGAAGAAGGCACACTGCTAGAATTAAGATTTTGAGGAATGTGCCAACGTGCAGATTGTTGTATCATCTGTGGCTGGGAGTGCAACTGGTGAGATGGCTGTTGATAAACGTTGAGCATTACTGCCTGATGAGGCTGACTTGGCTGACGTATCTGCATTCCAGCCAATAAAGAAGTGCCTGCCGGATAAGCATTTTGTGCCGAACTCAAAGTTCTTTGAGGACTGTTAACAGGATACCTGTACCTAGGGGGAAATCTGTACTGCATTGCATTACTTGGCCTGTACGCCGGAGGATTATGCGCAAGCAATCCACGCAAACTTGGATTTTGATTAATTTGTGTATCTGCTACGGCGCCTGCTGTAGTTACATGTAATTGTTGTTGCTGCTGTTGTTGTGAGTGAGGATGAGTTGATGAAGTTACCTAAACAAAATATAATAGCTATAAATATGTATTTTATTATAATTTGCGTGTCCATTAAGTTAAAGATTTTTTGACTTATTTTTGTTTACAATTCCAGATAAACATTTGCAAAAATCGTTAAACTAAACAGTGTTTGATGAATTGCTAATATAATATATAAAAATAATTAAAAAACTCAATAATAAATGTATATTTATTTATTGTTGTTATCTTACATTACATTTGAAAAATAATTTATACTATCAGAGTCTTTCATCTAGATGAAAATTTGATTTTATTGCTACATGAGTTTTGTTAACTTAATAACGGTAGCTCTATAAATAACATGACTTTTTTCGTTTTTACAATGATTGACAAGTCGTGACGTAGGTATTAGTAATTTTAAGTAAGCTAGTAGAAAAAGAAAAAATAATAATAATGCATATCTGGATGATGTGAACAATGATAACCTTTAGCATACATGATATCAATTACTTTAAGTTGTAAATGTTCACTGATTCATTGCCAGTATACCTGTTGATGACAGTTGCCAAGTCCGGTCCTTTGCGCCATTAGGATTTGTTGTTGTTGTTGTTGTTGTTGTTGTTGTTGTTGTTGTTGTTGTTGTTGTTGTTGCTGCTGCTGTTGCTGTTGTGGTGGTGGTGGTATACGTCCATTGTAATTAGTACTATAAGTCGGCATTAGTGGCGGTAAAGGATGTTGTTGCATACTGTGTGTATTGTAATGCTGCATATAATTTGATGTCTGAGTTTGTAATTGTTGCTGATTAGCTATATGTTGATTTTGCATTGCAAGTTGCTGATGAGATGTTATAGGAATGTTCATAGCTTGATTCATGTAAGTCATATTATTAGAAGGCTGAGTAGGAACTAAAGAAACTGCCTGAGGTGTTGTCAAGTTATCTAAAACTACGCCCATTGAAGAGTTATTCATTTGTTTATGTTCCAATGTCTCATTTAGTGGTGTTAATGATCTATTTGGTTCTGACGGAGGAGTAACTGAAGGATAAACTCTTCCATCAACTACAATACCTCCAATCGATGATATAACTGTAAAAAAGATTTTTAATATTTTTAACAATTTTTCATAAGATTTACAAAATTTTATTTTTTAAATTTACTCTAATTTGCCATTTAACGCACCTTTTACGAGATCTGGAACTTTATCTACATTCAAGTGAATTCTAACAGGAATATCAGGATTAGGAATATCTGCTCTCTGGTTCTTAATTCTTAGTAAGTGATTTGTCACTGTTTTTTTATTGTAAAGCAGTTCCATATCTGTGCCTGCATCTAATGCATAGTTCACAAAATCCATACAATGATCAGTCAATTTTGATAATTGATCCAAAGCAACTTTCTTTTCATTCAAGGTGTTTTGTTTTTGATCACACACCTCACTCAGTCTCTTAATTAACTCTTTTCCTCTTGAACTAATTGCATTTGTCAATCTAAAAATTAAATGTTTATTTTTAAAAGAGCTTACGTCATAAGTTTTCTGATTTTAGTAAATTCATTTAATAATTAATTTATTAGTATGTTCCGATAGTAATAAATAAATTCGTTTATTTATAATACTTAGAAGTAATAACTTACTGAACAACCATTTTCGTTATGTCCTCCACAAGTATTTTTTTCTTATCAGATATTAATCTTTGACGTTCTTTAATAACACCCATGGCAGTGTTTAATAACTCTCTTTTACGGCTATTGAGAAATTAAAATTAATACATTTGTTATCATAAATTTTTATTGATTTTATGATAGTTGTTAGAAACTGAATAGCATTAATAAATGTGCATGCAAGTAAATTTACCTGACATCAGTCAATAAAGATTTTATGGAAGTTTTTGTTTCCACGGCGATTTCATGAATAAATTTGTATTTATGTTCCCTGTGATCACTTAGTTGACAATCTCTGCATGTCAACCGATCGCAAGTTTGACAAAACAATGATAACGGCTCATGTGTATGAATCATGCAAAAAAGATAAATAGATAGTTCCTTCTTAGCATTTTCTGCATTGCCTGATCCCTCGTTCAAAGGTTTTATAGTATGAGCTTGTGTTATTTTCAAGCTACTGTGCGCCTACGTAAACGAATCTTATTAGATTGTATCTCTTGAAAATAATTTGTAGGTAATAGTTAAAAAGCAATTAAAGTTCGTACCTTGACACATTCTTGACATATTATTAAATCACATTCAACACACCAGTTGGTTGCTTTTGAGTTTGATGTACAGTTCAAACACTTTCTTTCCTCCTCAACAAGCGTAGGCACATCTTCATAGCTAGCATTGGCATTACTGTCTTCTTCAAGGAACTTGGAAAAAAATCGATTTTCTATCAAATTCTCCGGTTGGCTTATAATATTACAAGCTTGGCACAAAATAGTGTTGTTTTCAACTATGAAAGAAAAAACAGAAACACATGAATATCATAAAATAAAACAGTATGAACAAAAACTGTTAGTACAAACTGTGAGAAAAAAAGTATAGGCATGTATGAAAGAGAGAAAATTAACCAGGGTGTGTAAGCGTGAAAGCGAGGAAAGGATAGGAAAGAAATTAAGATCATAAGTGAGAGAGAGAGAGAGAGAGATATGAAAGTACGAGGAAGTACAAAGACGATAAAAACTACTGACCTACGAGGTCAGCGTCAACGGAGGTATTTTGCTGCTCGCTGAGCTTGGCATTGATGCAGGCGGTACAGGCTGCGTGAAGGCACTCGAGCAGCTTGGGCTTGTCCTCGGCGACGAAGCTCTTGGTGCAAAGCACACATTTTGAGAGGCTGCTTTTAATCTCCGAGCGCTGTGCATGCTCAGTCGTGAAGCACTCGACTGTCACGTTTTCCTCCTCGTCCATGGGCACGGCGGGAGCTGCCTGTTGCTTCTCGAGCGCTAAATCTTTCACGGCATCCGCCTGCAGCTGCTGAGTGGCCTCGCCGGCTGATGCTGTTGCTGCCATGGCTGTCTCGCTGAGCGCGGCGACGGACTCCATGTCCCACTATATATTATATATGGGGGCTACATATACACGAGTATGTATATGTGTACACATATATTAATTATATATATGAGTGTGTGTATGTGTGTGCACGTATAATGTGAATTNTTTGTTGGATTCACTTTCAATATTAAAAATACAGGTAAGACTAGATTTATTTTCTCTATTTGCAGTGCAATATTTGTCTTCACCAATTTTAAAACTAGATTTATTTCCCAATTGCAAAGTTTGCCCTTTTAAGTGTAATGGATTAATCTGTAGAATAAATTCAATATGGGGGCTACATATACACGAGTATGTATATGTGTACACATATATTAATTATATATATGAGTGTGTGTATGTGTGTGCACGTATAATGTGAATTTAATATATACAATATATATGTATACAATTTATATTGCTTTAAAATTTAAGGCTTCTGCTAGTCGCTAGTGCGTGCTATATCCTCTGTATATATACTGTTTAATTACAATCACTGTTGTCTGTCTGCAGTTGCTGCACTTGCGATCACGATCTTTTAGCAACTTCCTCTGGCAGTTCGATCGTCTTGACCTCCACCTTTGATAATAGCAGTTAGTCCGGTTTCAGTATAGTTATAAGTAGGTTGTAGGCTTGAGTGTAGATACTTAATGACAACGAGAATTGCGACACCAATATTCGATTGCTCACTTTTTTATTAAATATTGAAGGCTGCAATACATAGCTGTAATAATACACGTGTGTAAGTTGAATTTCGTTTTAATGGCCAAGACGTAAATATTTATATTGCCAAGACTGTAAATATAGATATACCGACTGTAGGAATTTGCTCAGAGGTGCTCCGATGAGCTCGGAGCAAAACGCGTGTCTTAGGGCAAAGTTCGGAGGAGCTCCAAGGAGCTCCGAGCTGCTCCAAGCTAAGCCCCACACGAACCTTAAGTCATTGAATAATTAAAAAAAAATTGTTCGAATGTACGTAATTATCGAAAACATGTCATAGATTTTACTATATGTACTGAGTGAGATTAATATTTATTAAAGTAGACATGTAGGAGAGGGTGGGTTTATTTGAAAACGCATGATTTTGGAATGGTTGTTACAGATGTAATTCTAAATCTGAGTGGGATACGACTATAGTTAAAAAATAAATGTAAAAATGGATATATTCCACCCAACAATACGATTAGAGTAGTTTGGAAAAAAAAAAAAAAAAAAAAATTACACGTTCTTTCATCACTTTACTTGTGCATACACAAATGATTTATTTATAATACTTAGAAGTAATAACTTACTTAACAACCATTTTCGTTATGTCCTCCACAAGTATTTTTTTCTTATCAGATATTAATCTTTGACGTTCTTTAATAACACCCATGGCAGTGTTTAATANCAAAAAGGGCCATTTCTCCCTGGTGGTACTTGGGTGCTTTTTTCCATTACTCGAGCTCTCGGCCGAAAAAAAAAAAAAAAAAAAAAATTACACGTTCTTTCATCACTTTACTTGTGCATACACAAATGATGTACAATTGTTTGCAAAGTTAAAGTGGAGATATATTATTTTGTTATTACCGTGTGACACTACAACAGCAGCATGTGGTTAGATTGAACACTCACTGCACGGCCTCGTGCCTCAGGGCCAAAAGACAGTACACATCAGAGCAGTCATCAGCAATTAAGCATTACAGTAATCGAAATTTTAACTTTTCACAAGTTGTTTTTGTTGATGATGATGCAAAATATAAATGTAGGCGTGTGCAAGGAGTAACCAGTAAACACTTTCGATGGTCCAATGGAAAATATTAATTATAAATTTTTTAACTAATGAGCTCGTTAATAAACATAAACAATGCACGATTTCACTCTACACCCTCACTATTCGACAGCAGACCAAGCGCCGCCGCATTCGCACTCGCGATAACTTGCGAATCTCTCGCGGCTACCTACTAATATTTCCTTTCATTTTGCTAAAAAATGGCGGCACAGTAGAACAGTAGACGTCGTAGACGACGAAACAACACTAGAAAATGAAATACTTATAAGTGCCTATGAATATGAAAGCAGAATGAAAGGAAGCGCCGAGTTCTTCCAGGTTCTTCGTCAACAGGTCAACTTTGGATTTAGATCATCTGATCATCACTGTATCGTCAATGTGCACTGTGCCGTCAATGCCGCCGTCGCATGTCGTCAGTCGTCACACTGCCAGCCAGCCAACCAGAATGCAAGATATCCATGCAGAATCAGAATCCAGACGAACCCACGACTGCACAAGTTGTATATTCGTTGTGAGCAAGCCCTTGGAGGGGGTAAAAAAAAGCGATCTAAGAGCCCATGGTGAGAGAAATGTGAAAAATTTCAGGACTTATACCATTGTTGATTACGCGTTATTGAGGTTTTTCAACATTTTGAATCACCGAAGGTAAATATAATTATTATCATGATAAACTTATGGTTCACAGCTTTTTGATTGAAAAGATTTTGAATGTAATCTTTTATCATACAAATGGTAATTAATAAAAAACAAAGCTAGTGGAGATGTCACTTACTGTCACCTTACGTCATACCCTTAGAGAATATATACATACAGAATGTATACAACATATGTCATACCCGCGTAACTTTACGATCGAGATGAGTCTGTTCTGCTTCGATATTCGATACTACAATTTGAGGTTGTATGTTACTGGCTTTAGTGGTGTTTTTGTTTCAATAATTCGGATGTCAGTGTTATTTTTTGCTTTAACTTTGTACATAACAGACATCTAGGGAATTAAATACAGAATTGTTGAAATTATTGATGCTTTCACGTTTGCTGTCGTAATAGACCCATAAACTTGTGATATTTGCTATTTAGAATCTACATTGGATACTGGATCCTCTATAATCCAGGACGACCAGGACTATTAGTCCTGGCCATTCTGCACCGTTTCACTATCAGATGGCGCCAATACACTTGCACACAGCGAATACACACAAACAGTGCCACTAATCAGTGTGAGAGTGCACTTCGCATATATATTCCGAATAGTCCGAATCCGAACTTCCAAATCTGAATTCCGAAGTCCGCAGTCCAGTCCAGCTCTTCGCTGTCAAACTTCAAACTGTCAAAAAGTCAACCTCAAATAAAAACTCTCAACACTTATATCTCAAACATACACACACTCCTTAAATAGTAGTTTATTTGAGGTTGACATTGTTGACACTTTAACAGCGGAAAACAATACGTAGGCACGATTGACAGTTGGACGGAAGTCAAATGTAATAGAACGCGGCTTCATGCATATCCGCAATGCAGCCTCATGCAGTAGGTGTAAGAGATATGGGTTTTTTGAAGATAAAAAAAGGAGTAGGTTGAAACTATATCTATTACCTACCTTTATTGCACATTTGTGTCATAAGTGAAAAATAATTACAAATATTAAATTATTTGCTAAATATTTATTAACTTTATCTTTATTAATATTTGTAAATCCGTAATTAAACGTAATTGCTGTCTCGAATGTTTTGTATCTTAACTGTAGTAAAATTTTATCTAATCTACAGAAAAAAATTTCTTGATCAACTAATGCAACTTAACATTTGGCTAATTAAAATTTTTTTTTTCAACTATACTATTCATTCATCAATGAATTTAACTCCGAAAAAAGGATGCCGCAATTTCAGATTTTTTGGAAAAGGAACAGTTTCCGACTTTTCACATGGTACCTTGTTTTTTGATATTCCTGGAAGTTTTTTTCTCACACTGACAGTTCCAGATGGTTTTATATTAACTGAAAGTATTTATGTACATGTTACTTATCAATTTAAAAACAATGTAATTTTAATATTTGAAATATTTATTTAAATACCTGCTCTGTATTTGTTGGATTCACTTTCAATATTAAAAATACAGGTAAGACTAGATTTATTTTCTCTATTTGCAGTGCAATATTTGTCTTCACCAATTTTAAAACTAGATTTATTTCCCAATTGCAAAGTTTGCCCTTTTAAGTGTAATGGATTAATCTGTAGAATAAGTTCAATAAAGATTCAAATTATTACAACAAACTTTCTCTACTAAATTCAAACCTTACAGTTTTTGGTATTTCAACAATAAAAAATTCTTCATCATCACTACACTCATTGTAAGTAAAAGTAGTTCCAGCATCACACTCTTCATTTAATTTTTCTTTTAGCAAAAAGTCATCAAGCTAAAAATAAGAAAAAATACAATATGAATATTATAATTAAATCGAATAAGATTTAATTAAAAACAAATGTAATTAAAAAATAAATTATGATAGAGGTAACAATTGCCTGATACGTACAGTATGTGGTCTAGGTACTAGATCTGAATGAGACGATTGAGTACATTGTTTTCCATCAGGCTTTTTGGCTAGTTTACTCTTTTTAGAGGGGGATCTTGACATCTTCGAAATGTTATTACTCAGTACAATTAAGGGTTCCACAGATTTTTCTGCTTCATTTGATGCAATAGTATTTATTTCAGTTTTCAAATCTTTTGTATTGAAGGCAGACATTTCACTGTATATACATATATCTATATATATACATATATCACATTAAAAAAATTTACTGCGGCTTTAATATTTATTTCATTGCTAAGTATTAGCAGATAATCAAATAAGTTTTACAGTTCATTGTACAATTTCAAATGCAAACTTAACCTAAAATATAAAGATTTAAATTGAATGAACTCTTATTCAACACCCTTCAATCTATTTAAGATAAAAAAAAGATGTGTTTAAAAAATTATTATAAAAAAAAAAAAACCAAAAAAAAATAAACAATCAAACAGAATTTCTGAAATAATAGGTATAGCGTAGGTTGTACATACGTTACATACGACAACAATATATTGTGTCTCTCCTCGAGACAGTCGAGAGTCGAGAATCGAAATTCTGACCACAGAGCGGCCCCATCCTCAAAAGTATTATGTATAAACCAAGGCCAGAAAAAGGCCGAAAATGACACTTAACATAACTTATTATTATCTACATATAATTAATTAGGATGCAGCTGGTATATAGTAATGGCCATATAAGCACTTCTTTAGTATCAAAAAAACTCGTCACCAGCATGAAATATGACAAAAATATTTCAGATTTTTCACAATTTCTGTGAGCTGCGGCTGGTATTTACTTTTTGACAACTCTCGGGCCTCAGTAGGTATAAGCTTTTGGACGACTAATCGCGTTGGCAGGTGACACACAAAATACTTACTTGACCTCATTTTTTTCGTCGGAAATTGGAATCAGCAACGATTAATTATTTATTTTTTGTAGGGGGGAGTATATTTTTTTAGGGGCCATTTTCGGGTATGGTAGAAGAGTCCCAAATGGAACAACTTTTTATTTTCTTTCCATTGAACTAGGTTGCGACAGTTATATGGTTTGGATCATATATGGCACTATTTATATTATTCCTATAGGATTTACGCAAATCATGACGTTCCTCAACTTCTGTATGCGTTGCGGCGGTAATTTTTTTTTATACATATTTTGGGCCTACTACGTTCCTAGACCGTAAACGGCCCAAACCCACACCCACACACCCATTGAAAATGAAACCCATCAACTGAACCGAACTGACGTCGATGTGAGCGCCCTCTACTCTAGCGCAATTATCGAAATTTAGAAAACATATATATGTCGCGAAATTTACCAGTGTTGCGAGAAACGATTCGTGGTGCTAAGTGTGTGTACTAAGAATCCTGTGTGTAAGTTGTAAGTAAACAAATATCCGCTACATCGCGACTATTATGGTGTTATTGTACCGAATGGCATAAGCGGGCTTTGTTAATTAGACGATCACTTGCGCAAATTAACAAAAGTAAGTCAATCTGTGGCCCCATACGTGTTGATCCGAGTAGATGCTCGATGGTTACCGCGCGCTTCCGGACGAACGAACAAACGAAGTCAAGATTCGTCACGCCAATCGAGGAAACTCAAGTATTTATTAAGTATATTCATTTCCGTACGACCTTACGACCAAGCCCATCAGTAGCAGCTCGACGATTTTATTGAAGCCGCATTCTGAGCTCTCAATGTTCTTGTAATTTTAGTGTGAAGCAGCGAGCTCTCTGTCTCGAAATGTTTGCTCTTCGCCTTTCCTGGCCTAATACCCATATAGACTCAAATATCTTTACAATCAGTGGGTTTTGGTAAATTAAGGTTAAAAGCTACAGCTGACTGAATCTGCTGTTCGGTGGCTCGCCCTGATCAGGAACCATGGGTGACTGCAAGGTAGTGTGCGCAGCACCACACTTTCTTGATCTTCTGCTGTATTGCTTCTCGTGCAAAAATAATATCCGTTGGTTTTGTTATTGTCCTTAGGTATCGACTTTTCAACTAGGTACTAAACTAGTATCTACTGGGCGCGACTTGTTTTGACAATACAATTTGGAAATTTCGGCTCTAGTTCTCGGATATTGCTAGATGTCAAGTATCGTATCAATCAATTAAATCTCCCCTTGCCTGTAATACACGAATATCATATCTCTTTCCTGATTCCTGCATAGATTCCTGTACATACAGGTACTCTTTTATAACATTACATGAAGATACACGTATTATCGTGTCGTCCAGGTTGTACTTTCATCTCATCAGCTTTGCTCCAAAATGCAGGTTGCATTGGTAGCTGCATTCTTTGAGTTAGCCTGCGCCAGGCGCGCAGTGAGATGCAACACACACCTACCCTACCTATCTAACTTCGTGCGTGCGTGAGAACACTGCGAACAAGTAACACTACTATATACTTACACTCGAAGAGAAGAGCTCTAGAAGGAAAGAGAGAGAAATAAGTGAAGGGAGAAAAAATATGGGGAAAAATGCCTGTGTTGGTTATTGCTCCATCTCTTTCTCTCTTATCCGTAGCTGTTCTCTCTCTCTCTCTCTCTCTCTGGAGGTTGCTGCTGCTGCTGCTGAATGCTGATGTATGTTTTTTTTTCTCTCTTGCGCCTGCAGCTTCTTTCTTTTTTCTTCTCGTCCTTCTCCCTGTTTATCGTGAGCGCGCTCTCTTTCTCTCTCTCTTTATTTACTATTATTGCTACTTATAGTGTACTTGCAATACTAGTATGCTAGTTTCATATACGTATACACACATACATATAGGTATCCAACTATCTATAGCAGCAAAAAGCCAACACATCCACGGTTGAGTTGAATATTGGGGAATAAGTAAAACGAATGAGGGAGAAAGAAAGAGAACGAAAAAGCTTTAAAGCAGTATAGTGTGTTGGCTAGCTATATAGCCGTCGTCTGGCTGACTGGTTCATAAGTTTGTGTAAGTTTATAGGTACTATCCTTTTCCTTTATCTCTTGTCTACTTATATGTGTTTTCATTAAGCGTGTATATAGTATAGTACCTATACCTTTTACACCACGATAGCTGTGTTTGTGTTATTCAGTTCAGAGTTCAGAGCATATGAAATTGCACCTTACGTATAATAGGTATACTATGATACAATGTATATCTACACTGAACCTAGTGCAACATATATACATGTGTGTACACCTCCCCACAACTACTTATTCGGTTAATCTATCATTTTTTACTGTTATCATTCTTTCTTTCTTTCTTTCTTTATTTTTTTTCTCGACCAGCGTGTCATCTTATGTACAGCTTTGTATTTAGTTGTATCATTCTTGTCTCATTATTACCACAAAATCCAACTTGTACTTTAAAAAAAGTTATCTGCAATGGGAAAGGGCGAATTCACTAGAGAGCGGCGGGCAGGGTCTGGGACGTAGAGGGGGAAGACAAAGGTGGACGTTCTTTGGTGCGGGTGTGTATAATACGTGTAAATATGTGTTATAGCTGGCCTTCCATCTCTGTCTCTGTCTTGTTCGTTTTTTTACACCAGACCAGCAGCAGCAACATCAGCACGCCATCCATAGTCACCAGCTAACTTAAGTATATATAACAGCAGCAAAAATGCGAGTGAGTGAGTGAGTCAGACTGTGTGTATGTGTGTGTGTAATAGTTCTGTGACTGTGACGCGCTGAGGCCGCTGAGGAAAGAAGCAAGAGGAGAGAAAAAGAGAATGCTTACTATATACATATGTACATAAAATACTCTATTGGATATTATTGCGTATATTGTGTGAATCGTGTCTGTGTATTCTGTGTAAAATGTAGGTATCTATATATAATATAAAATGTGCGCTGCTCTGATGCTCTCTTCATCTTCACTTCTTCTTTCTACTTTCTACAGATCTGCTTTTATACTGTGGGTATATTTGTACGTGTGTGTGTGACTGCGTGATGTTGAGTTGATTGATATACTTAGTGTTGCTGTTGATACATCCCTCATGAACTTAGTTATACTACTGACTTACTCTCTTACTTCGGTCGTAATTCATTAAACTGCAGTGTGTAGTTCGGTATATTTGTGTGACTTGTGCGGTGTGTGTGTGTGTGTGTGTGTGTGTGTGTATACAGATCTACACTATCTACAGATGTATGTTTGTATACACCTATGTGCACATTCATACAGTTACAGACGCCATCAGGACAAGAAGGTAACGACCGCGAGCGAGCAAGTGAATGGCAAGAAAAATCTCAGGACTCTTTTCCGTGGTCTGCATGTCATATGTACTCAAACCCTGTACTTACCTATCAGCTGTCACAAGAAACGAAAGCGAGCTTTTGGCTAGTCCCGAGTCCCAAGGGTATAATTTTAATTGGTACCTTCTTTTTCTTAACAATCGTGTCGTATAACTTACACTCTGACATCAACAGTTTTTCTATGGTACCTATCGGTATAGAAACTATCTGTAAACGTCAAAGTGTTGTCGCAACAGCGCTTATCATAGTGTTCAATCCAGAAATGGGTGTCAAGTTTTTAATACTATTAAAATTTGCCCACACACAAATAATAAGGAGAGAAGCAAAATAAAGATAAATTAAAAAAAAATTAAAAAAAAACAGGTTCATGCAGCAGTAGTATTAGCAACAGCAAGTGTGGTGTGTGCATGAGTTGAGTTTGTGTACTTACTGTATGTACATCTACATACGTCTTAAAAACGTGAAAGGCTTGTGTTATTACAGTATCTCAATAAGTACTGCAAGTAACAGCAGCAGCAATAGCAAACTGTGCGGTTGTTTTTGTCTTTTCATTATCTGGTCACTTGAACTATTATTATTATTGTTGTTTTTATTATTATTATTATTAT